TATATATATATATATTTACGAGGGGTGGTCAATAAGCTTTAACCCTATCTATGATAGAAGCAATCTAGATATTTTTTATTTGACCCGCAGAACGCTACTTCTCTACATAGGCAACCTACAAATCCTCAGTTTCGGCTTTCCATGTATAATTTATTCTACCTTTACCAGTCCCCCTGAGCCTAACATGACCTAGGATGGTACTCTAACCATTCCTTCACTGTAAATGTAGCATCTCCATCACTATGGACATATTGTCCTTTGAGAATAATATATTCTTTTTATCCAATTTGGGAAAAGGGAAAGGTCAGAGGGTGACAAAGCACTTCACATAGTAAAGCAGTACTTAATGTTGGGTCGTGCAATGTTAAGTAAAATAAGTTGAGCCCTAAGAAAGAATCCGCTAAAATGTGCCCAACCGGCAGAAAAAAATTAATGTCGGCTTCTTCAAATTCATTGTTTTGTCAAGGGCCAAAAGACTGGAACGTAAGATAACCACCTGCGAGATGAGATGTCTAAGGAGAGCCGTCAACAAAACCAGACGGGACATGGTCAGAAATAACAAGATCAGAGAATTGGTGGGAACAACACCTGTCCTCTACTACATCCGAAGGCAAACGATCAGGTGGTTTGGACATCTCACACGTATGGCACCTAACCAGCTTGCCAGTAAAGCCTACTACAGGAAAGTATCAGGGTACAAAGCAAGAGGAATACCAATAAAAACCTGGATCCAGGGTGTGAAGGATACCCTGAGAATATTCAATATCTCTTTCTACCCTCGACGCCCTAGAGGTACATGTACAAGGGGACGGAAAAAGTCAAGTGAAGTAACGAAAGACGGGCGCCTGATTTCAGCACGTCATGACAAAATTGTATTTTTTGTCAATTCCTTTTTTTTCTCATTTTCAGTCTCAGACACGAGTCAGGAAACTTCGGCCAGTGTTCAGGGAAATAAAGAAGAGACGAGCCCGCTCAATTTCCGGTCCCTGAAGAACTCCAGCAAGTACACATTGATGCTGCTAGCCAGTGCAAACTTTGCACACATGACGGCTTTCTCGCTGCTCGCTCCTTTCTTCCCGAAAGAGGTGAGTTTAATAGGAGAATGAGAGGGATAATGGAATGTATATTTACAATGGGTGATGTTCATGTGGTCAGCTGCTGTTTGTTATTAATAATATGGTTTGCGTGTTGTTGTCGTGGTTGTTGTTGTTGTTGTTGTTGGTGGTGGTGGTGGTGGTGGTGGTGGTGGTGGTGTTATTGTTGTTGTTGTTGTTGCTATTGGTGGTGGTGGTGGTGGTTGTTGTTGTTGCTACTGGTGGTGGTTGTTGTTGGTGGTGGTGGAGGTGATTGTAGTTATTATTGTTGTTGCTGGCGGTGGTCGTGGTGGTGGTTGCTGTTTTTGTAGTTGTTGTTGTTTATTGCTGCTGCTGCTTTTGTTGTTTTCGTGGTAGTTGTTTTCTCGTCGTCGTCGTCGTTGTTTTTGCTGTTGCTGCTGTTGTCGTTTTTATGTTGTAGTAGTAGTAGTAGTAGTAGTAGTAGTAGTAGTAGTAGTAGTAGTAGTAGTAGTAGTAGTAGTAGTAGTAGTAGTAGTAGTAGTAGTTCTACATATTATGTGACACGATGCGGTGGAATCAGGCTCTCGACAGTTATTGGGCATGTGGAGTCATTTGTATCATCTTAAAGCTTGCTTATTTGTCTTGCTTAGAATTAAAAACATGTCCATTTATCTTGAATGCAAGTTGAGATATTTGCGAATGAAGGAGGTGGGCGTCCCCTGTCGTTGTCATTGTCATCGTCGTTGTCATTGTCATTGTCATTGTCACTGTCGTTGTCATTGTCATCGTCATTGTCATTGTCATTGTCATTGTCACTGTCGTTGTCATTGTCATTGTCATTGTCATTGTCATTGTCATTGTCATTGTCACTGTCGTTGTCATTGTCATTGTCATTGTCATTGTCATTGTCACTGTCGTTGTCATTGTTATTGTCATTGTTACACTAAATATCTCACTGGTTCCACTTCAGGCACTCAAAAAGGGCACATCTCAGACTGTGATCGGACTCATCTTCAGCGTATTTGAATTTGTCGTGTTCTTCACCGCCCCTGTCTACGGGGCCAACGTAAGTAAACGATCTATCTATCTATCTATCTATCTATCTATCTATCTATCTATCTATCTATCTATCTATCTATCTATATATCTATCTATCTATCTATCTATCTCGCTATCTCTCTATCTCTGTCTGTCTGTCTGTCTGTCTGTCTGTCTGTCTGTCTGTCTCT